GCAGAGAACAGGTTCAGTGCGTCGGGATGCCTGGGAGGGACCGTGACCCCGCTTTTTACCCTGCTGACGCGTTGTTATGTCTGCTTTTCTCAGATCCGGACCCTGGAAAGAGAAAGCAAGCAGATCCCGAGCGATTCCGAAAGCCACCTGACAAAACTGCTGTTAACCCCCCGGCGGCTATGAGGAAAGCATCCCATGAAAGTCCCAGCCTCAAGAAAAGCCCCCTCGCATCTAGTCCCAAGAGGCTGTCTCCCTGGAAAAGCAGTCCCAGGAAAGACCATACAACGAGTTCTTTCAACTTGTCCCCGAGGCATCTCGTCACCGCTCAAGCCAAGCGTCGCTCTTGGCGTCGTTCGAGCCTGAAGGGGACAAAACACCGAAGGTCTCTGCCTCCTGTTCACCGAGATGTCACTGGTACGTGCTCCACTGCCTCCCTTTACCAAACTCCCTCGAGAATCTTTTAGCCTGCAGCGAGCTGAAACTTGCTTGAACGGCGCGACCTTTAGGGTGATGGCGGCGTAACTGCGCTGTTCCACACCAGCACCCGCTGCCGTGCGCGTTGGCAGTGCTCTCGGTGGTCCGATAAGAGGAGGTGCTGCGTGAACGGCTTCCCCGGACCAGTGGTTTGTTGTCTCTTGCCTTTTTTTTTTCCCACGGCTGAGCCTTGAGTGTGACTTTTCCTTGTTAGGAGCTGGTTCTCCCTCTTTTTCCCTGCTCCTTCTGTATCCTGCAGACCGCGCTCCTGTACAGCAACAGCTTTTAGTGTCTCGGGAACATTCCAGCCTGGTGTGAATTTAATTGTTCTTAAACAACTTTGTTCTGTTTTTTCCAGAGATAAGCAAATCGATTAGCCTGGAGCTGCCGGAGACAGAGCGGCTTTCAATGCTGCTGTTGTCCAGTTTCCAGGTAAGATGCTCTCTTTTAAGAGCGAGTCATTTTTTCCTCTTGCCTTTGCCGCTGAACGTACGTTCTGGCCTGTGAAACGCGGGCTGGGGAAGGAGGGACTCTTCTCCTTCAAAACGAACCCTCCGCAAGCTCAGGGGAGGGCACCAAGACCTTCTTTTCCATCGTCTCTTAGTTTTCGGCAGAGAAGCTCGAACACGTCCTGAAGCAGACGGACGGCTTTAGCCCCAAGGCTTTCCAGGCGAACGGTAAGGTGCGTCGCTCGCGGCAGCGAGGGCAACCCCGGACTTAAAACTGCCGACCCGACCCTCGCATCCTCTCACAGGGAAACCTTCCAGGAGGGCTGGGGGCGGCGAAAAGCGTGGGGATGATGTTTTTAAGATGCTGGGAGGGAAGGCGAACGGGCGTGCTCACGTAAACCGTGGCCACAGAGATGAGTTATTCTTTCAGCACCAGTTTCAGTACTGCCCAGAGCAGGAGCTGCAGGTTGGAAACAGCCTCGTGTCTCAGCGTCGCTAATTTTCCAGGCGGTGGGCACCAGCACTGCTTTATCCTGGTTTTTTCTGTCTTTTCTCCAGTGCACTCGGTTTCAGAAGACCTGAAGCGATACCTGCAGAAGCTGGAACGAGACGGGACGCTCCAGAGCTGCGTGAAAGACCCCGAAGGGTGAGGACTCGCCGCGCTCAGCCCCTGGGGAGCGTCGCAGACGCGTCGCGCTGGCGGGGGAAGGGGCGGCCTGCACCCCGAACGCTCCGTGTTCGCTTAGACGTCGTGATTAGCTGCTTTCCCTCCTCCGGGCAACGGTACCGCAACCAGCGGGGATGTTGATGTGCCAGTAGTTTTCTTGGGGGTGAAACTTTTAAATGGGAAAGAACCCCCCTGAATCATCCCTTTGCAGACTGGGGGGAGGGGCAGCGCGGTTCCCAAGTCCCAGGCAGACCAAGGAAGATTTTGCCCGTGAAGTGAAGAAATGGATAGAAAACTCGTAGGTGACACCCACGTGGATGGTAAGGGTCAGGTATTTGGGGGATCAGAGGCAGCTGGGGCTAAGAAGGCTGGGGGGGACCCTACAGCACCTTCCAGTCCTTAGTGGGGGCCTGCAGGAAAGGCGGGGGGCTCTTTCCCAGGGAGGGAGTAGCGGTTTTCCTCGGAGAAGGGGCAGATTCAGATCAGCTCTTGGGACGGAATTCCACACCTTTGCGCTGCGTGAGCGCCGACCCCTCCCCAGAGCCCTCTCTGTGCCGCAGGGGGTCACTGGACTCGGCTTTCGACGCGTCGGTGGCCCAAGTGAAGGAGTACATCGCCAGGTACCACACACGCCCCTTCCTCGAGGGTGTTTTGGGGCTGTTTCACTGTTTCCCCCCGCCCCGTCCCCGAGAGCTTCGCGGAGGGGCACAGCCCTGGTCTCTCCTCCCGCAGGTTTACGGCCGAGTGTCAGTCCTGGGATCAGCTCCTGCTGCGCTACCAGCAAAGTGCTGAAGAAACCTCCAGGTGGGGAGCGTCCCCGCCCTGTCACAGCTCTTGGAAAGGAAAACGAAACGACCACCAGCTTGGTGACATCTTTCCCTGTTCCACAGGCAGCTGGAGGAGTGCAGGAGGGACGGGGGGCGGGCAGAGCCCCCAACTTACCTCCAGACATCTCAGGCCGAGGTCCTCCGCAGCAAACCCAACTACCAGAAGATCCTGGATGACCAGGGGGAGGTGCTGAGCTGCATGGAGCTGGTGGTGAGTGGGTTGAGGGGAAAATATTCAACACCCCCCACCCCCCCCAGCTACGGATTTAGGGATTTTTCATCTATTTTTGGGTGGTTATCTTCCATTTCGCAGCTCGACGAACTACAGCAGGCCGTGAAGCTGCTGGAGGCCTTCAGCGAGGACAGCCGGCAGTACCTCCGGCGCCTGTCGGAGCAGCTCGGTAAGCTGAGGGGGTCTCTCAGGGGGAGGGGGTGTGGAA